AGATCAATTGAGTAAGTTATAATGTTAAACAAATGGAATCAGATGACATTTATGCATAATTTGAGATTTAAGTGGTTTAATACAAATGAGGTTCCTTATATACATAACTGTTTATTAATTAAATTCTTTTGTAATTTTTATCTTAACATGTACTGTATATTACGATACCCTGACAGGGTTCATGTTAGGTACTATAAGCATTTTGTTAGGACTTATTATTATAATACGATAAAATAAAATATTACTATGTTTCGTCCAATATATTGAAAGTCAACAACCTTTCCAATTTATTGTTTTCGTCAGATCCCCGATCAGGTCACGTGTCATGACGCGATCAGCCCACGTGTCCTGAAGCGAGTTTAACATTTTAAACCCATACAAAAAAAGTGTACAACGCCGCTAAAGAAGTTCGTACAATATATTGAAAGTCAACAACCTTTCCAATTTTATTGTTTTCGTCAGAACCCCGATCAGGCCACGTGTAATGACGCGATCAGGCCACGTGTCCTGTCGCGAGTTCAACATTTTTTACCCATACAAAAAAAGAGTACAACGCCGCTAAAGAAGTTTTCACTTCAAAAAACCACGCCGTGTCACCAATTGGTCCGGCCCAGGTGAGGCCTCCAAATACTAAAAACAGAATAAATTAAAATTTCGAATTTAAGGAGAGCTCCCATACATTTTTTTATTAGCTTGAAATATTTACAGAATATTAGAATATTAAGTTTAATATTCAACAAAAAAATAGAAATAAAATAAAAATACAAGTGACGCGATTTTTTGCCTAATGTTGTATAGATCATCATCACGCACATCACTCATTAAATAAAACTAGTTTTTACGGGTTAATGCACGAATTCATTCAGAATTCATTCTGACGACGAAGCCTGTAAAGGCTACGAAACGTCAATAAATAAATAAAGTTTCGTGCATTAACCCGTAAAAACTAGTTTTATTTAGATCATCATCATTATCATCAGCCTATTAATGTCCCCACTGTTGGGGCACAGGCCTTCCCTATGGATGGAATAGGGACATTGGGCCATGACCCACCTGCCGACTGCAGATGCAGCCAGGACCAACGTACCTTCCGAAGCACGAAGGAGCTTGAGATAGTAAATTTTTGGTCACCCATCCGATGACCGACCACTGCGAAAGTTGCTTAACTTCAACGATCGCAGCCGAACGCTCTAACCACTTGCGCCATCGAGCTCCTCGAGTTATATAGATAATCGTACGAAACGTTTTTTTTAATAAAATCTGAAAAAGTTTCTGGTTGGTTCGACTCCACACCTTTCGTGTTATGCATGGGTGCATCATGGCCCGCCCGCAGCTTATAAATTTTGTAATTAACCCGCGTAAACGCCAACAACTTAAATGAAGGCAACTTTATCCCGGACTAAGATACGCCTCGCTATCAAGCATCTCCCTTTCCTTGTAGAAAGCTTTATACTTAAAATACTTTCTTAAACGCTAAATAGCGAAAAACAGAAAGTTATTTTTCAACACATTTGCTCAAAAAATGCATTAACGGAGGCAGCAAACATTGTTCGAAAATTCAAAATTACGGGCCGTTTAACGGAGCATGCGGTAAAACGTTTTACCGCACGCTTCCATACATTAAAATGATTTCAATGAAAATGTAGGTCGAACCTCCTTGGAAGCGCTATTAATCTATACCTTTGTCTCACTTTAATACTAAAGAGAAATTGAGATGAAAGATATATGTAGTTCTAATTTTCTAAGCCACCGCACGTGAGGGCATTCGGAAATGCGTGCCATTTTCAATATCCATTTTTTTTGAGTGTGTATGCTGTTGGTCGCTGAAGATCTTTACAGCGTCACCGGGTTTGGGGAGGGCGAGATCCTAAGGGAACTTCAAGCCGAGAATTGACGAATACCTCTAGAGGTATTCCAGGCGGATGGCATCTCCCCACGGGGGGAGTCTCTTCTCCGTCTGGAGCCTCTAGACCACTAGAACCTGAGGGAGTCGGCTCAACTAGAGGGCGTATCTGAGACTCGGACCTCGGCTCTAGTTAGCCGTTGTCGTGAGAGGTTCAATCTCCAGTATGTCGATATTACTTAAATTAGGTATAATATAGATACTGTTTACTGGATGGATTATCAAGTTGAAGTGGCAGTGGGCTGGCCATATTTGCCGAAGAACCGATAACCGTTGGGGTAGACGAGTTCTGGAGTGGAGACCGCGTCTAGGCAAACGTAGTGCAGGACGTCCTCAGGCACAATGGAGTGACGATTTGCGCAAGGTGGCTGGCAGGAGCTGGATGCGAGTAGCCCAAGATCGATCTGAGTGGCGTGCAATTGGAGAGGCCTATATCCAGCAGTGGACTAGGATAGGCTGTTGATGATGATAAGCGGCGACTCATAACTGGATCCCGCAGTTACGCCTGGAGGGCGAGGGGTAGATCGGGGAGTTCTTTTACCTGGTAGGTACGGGAGCTTGTCGGCTGGCTAGCCGCTCGAGCTGCGGTCCGTGAGACTAGTCAGGTGACGCTGTGAAGGACGCTGTGAAACGGAAAAGCCCAGGATCGGCTAAAGTGGGTGCGGACGGGGCTGCTGGTCGGAGGCGGGGTGGTTTGACGTATGCCACGCTTGCGGGAGTGCACGTCAAAGTATACCCGCACTGACTAGCGGCCCCCGGGCTGCTCAACCCGATCGGTTTAAAATTGACAAAATTTCATACAAACTTTCATTCCCTATTTTATCCCCTTGGGGGTAGAATTGATCAAAATCCTTCTTAGCGGATGTCTACGTCATAACATCTACTTGCATGCCAAATTTCAGCCCGATCCGTCCAGTGGTTTGGGCTGTGCGTTGATAGATCACTATGTCAGTCACCTTTGAGTTTTATATATATAGATTAATAAGGGGGTTCCAGACTACGGTCCCTTGAAGCTGTTCAAACTTCTAATAATATCATTTATTTTTAAGCATTTAACTGCTAGATGTTTAAATGTAAAGAAAATTTTACTAGAAAAAAATCCACGCGGACCAGGCAGCAGACAGGTTTCGAACCCGCACCATTCGTTATCCCGGCCAATGCACTGACCATTATGTATGGGTTCCCTACAATGCGAAGTTATGGCGCTGCCTTGCAGCTTAAGAAAGGCTTGAGAAAATTCAAACTTCTAAGTTAACGTAAAAAAAATTACAGCGTTTATTTGACTGCCTGACAAGAGCCTTTATCTCCCCGACAAGACCCTTTACCTGCCTTGGTATCTCGTGGAGGTATCGAGTTGTAATCCAAACCATATACAACACAGTCCTTTTATTCTGTGAAAAAATCACACTACTAAATTACCGACGAAAGAAAAGATACAGCCATTTTATTGCGCACCTACAAGTTTATACGGGACCTTCGGTGGCCGAGTCTGACACGCACTTGTCCGGTTTTTTTTTTCTTAAACAGTTCAGGGGAAAAATCAATTAATCGAAAAAACTACATAACTAAAAAAATCGTAAGGCATTACGTTAATAAAGTATTAAATATTTGATTATGCAATAAATAGATTTTTTTTACCCTTATGTAGTTCATTCTTCCATTTATTCCCATAATAAATTTGATAAGCATCGAATGGGGGATAAGCGGAAGAAAAGTTCACAATCCCCCATTGATGGGGCGAGTCAATGGGGATTAGTAGTCCCACAGTCTTCGTGTACAATTAATGCAATTCGGTCGAGTGTTCGAGTGAAAACTAATACTGATGGGCTGGGATCTTGTCATAATCGGACTTCTTGCAGAAGAGGAAGAAGAAGGAAGCCGTTGGACGCGGCGGGGTGGGCTCTTCCGCTTCGTTCCCCTTCATGCTCCCGCGGGGATTGCCACCGGAGGCAAATGGGAATTAAGTCATTGCCCCCCAGACCCGTCTTTCCCAGTGGGCACTTTGGGCAAGTGCCCAGGGCCCCGCGATCGATAAGGGGCCCTCTCAGATCAAATACGAAGTCCCTAGTTCCTGTTAAATCACCAAATTGAAGTCATAGGGGCCCCATTATCCTAATACGCCCAGGGCCTACAATAAGTCAAAGACGGCACTGTTGCCCCCACTTATTTTTTTAATACCATTTTTCTGGTGGCAATCTCCGCGGTGACCAATATTTCCAGTCGCCCCGTGCGTATTGTCAACGGAGGCCAATGGGAATGAAGTCATTGCCCACAGTTCAGTTTGTTATTTAGATTTGCCTTCGGTGGCAAACCCGGGCGTTGTTTTTTTTGAGTGTGTATGCTGTTGGTCGCAGATGATCTTTACAGCGTCATCGGGTTTGGGGACGGCGAGATCCTAAGGGGACCTCAAGCAGAGAATTGGCGAGTACCTTTAGAGGTATTCCAGGTGGATGGCATCACCCTACGGAGGGAGTCTCCTCTCCGTCTGGAGCCTCTAGACCACTTGAACCTTGGGTTGGCTCAACTAGAGGGCGTCTCTGAGACTCGGACCTCGGCTCTAGTTAGTCGTTGTCGTGGGGGGCGAGGAAAAACGCCTAGGACCCGCGGGGGCAACTATAAGCTCATTGCTCTGCCAACGATTTTAAGATGCATCTCACAGCGCAGCGCGATTTCACTGGCCTCTTCCAGTATCGTTGTGTCGCGACTTGGTGCTGCATTATCCCCCTCTCAGGGGATAATCGCTTCAGATGAAGCTTGTAAGGCCCTTCAGGCCATAAGCATGAACTACGGGTGTGTTTTAGTCAGTAAGAGTCTGACATAACCTTGCAGCCGGCTGTAAGGTATCCATGAGGATTTCACACCCGCTCCCCCGCCTGGGAGGAATCAAAAAAAAAAAAACGCGACTTGGTGTGAACTTACCTTTAGATGGCGGTAACTCCACCAGACACGTGTTTCAATCAAGCAGAAAATACGCTATACTCTTCAATTATCAAACTTACAATAATTATAGTTCCATTATAACATACCTATTACATCATTGTTTTAATAATATTCCATTGATAGAACCATAACAAGACACTTGAATAAAACAAAGGCAGGAGTCGTTTGAAAAAAAGAAAGGTTTTAAAGTGACTAACTAACTGTTAGTTTAAAGTTATTCTCCGTGGTGAATAGTCGTGAAATGGGCGCGATGAAATTGTTTTTTTGCTTTCTTTTTGTGCGTTCCAGTTTTGCCAGTTATCATGAGCAATATAGAGGTTAGTATTGGTTGTTAGCCCTAATACGGTACGAATAGTACAGTACAGTACGAATAGTATATGGTGTGATTACTCTTGGTTGTTAGCCCGAATACGGTACGAATAGTACAGTACAGTACGTTTAGTATATAGTGTGATTACTCTTGGTTGTTAGCCCGAATACGGTACAAATAGTACAGTACAGCACGAATAGTATATGGTGTGATTACTCTTGGTTGTTAGCCCGAATACAAGTGCCAACAGAATTCAGGTAAAACACTAAGGCTCGTATTACAGAACGACAACTAAGAGTTGATCTTTACTTGAGTACAGTTAGTGTCGCCGCACACGGGCCACACGCCACAGCCACAAACGCCGCCACGAGAAGCTAGAAGCGGCTACTAAAGTGGCTGAAGCGCGCGACAGCTGCCGACTAAGGTAAGGGAGAGAGGGGTGGAGAATCGCGCGTGTGACGTGTGGCGGTGTTTTGTATCGGTGCATTAAGTGGCCGGTGCGGGCCACAAGAAGCGAGCAACGACGATTTGTAGCGTGTGGCGGCCACCGGCGTACCGTGTGTGGCGAGTCCATGTAAAATGTATGAAAACTACAAGAAATATGCCGGTGGCGGCGTTTTGTGGTTGTGGTCGGTGGCCCGTGTGCGGCGACACTTAGAAAGGAATGTCAATATGTGCTATACAGTCTTTCTAGCTGTACTCAAGTAAAGTTCAACACTTAGTTGTCATTCTGTAATACGAGCCTAAGTGTAAGTGAGCGGAGTCGAGTATTCGGGTAGATTTCCTTTTGTTTACCCGACACCGTCTTCCAGCCCATATTCCAGTGTAAATATTGCTTCGGATGCCCGAATTCGAGTAATGACTTTCGTGCACCCGAATGCTAGCTAACGACCAAATGTGATTGCTCCGTCATATTGATATTTCTTTTTGTTCATCTTTAGTAATTAAAAGATTCTAGTCTAGTAAAGTTCAGTGGTAGGAAGCTCGCCTGCTACGCGGGCGGCCCGGGTTCCAATCCCAACCGGAAGAGGACTTTTTCACTTCTGTCGTGCGTCCCGAGATGCACACGCTTTTCTTTTAATAATGATTTTAAAAGTTTCACATGAATCCTGGTTTTTTTATTCATCCAATCTGGTAAAGAAGGATCGTTTCTTTCAAAAGCGTTTGATTGTTATGATTTTATTTATTTTTAAGCATTTAACTGCTAGATGTTTAAATCTAAAGAAAAGTTTACCAGAAAAAATTCACGCGGACCAGGCAGCGGACGGAACTCGAACCCGCATCCTTCGCAATCCGGGCGAATGCACTGACCATTATGCTACCACGGCCCTATTAGCCGCGTTGAAATTTTCCTAGCCTTAAGCTGCAAAGCAGCGCCATCTCTTCGCATTGTAGGTAACCCACAATGTCAAATGAATACTTTTTCAAGTATTAAACATTTGAAAGAAGAAATAGCAATTATAGTTATGATTTTATTTATTTTTAAGCATTTAACTGCTAGATGCTTAAATCTAAAGAAAATTTTACTAGAAAAAATTCACGCGGCTAATAGGGCCGTGGTAGCATAATGGTCAGTGCATTCGGCCGGATTGCGAAGGATGCGGGTTCGAGTCCCGTCCGCTGCCTGGTCCGCGTGAATTTTTTCTAGTAAACTTTTCTTTAGCGTTTGATTGCTTCAAATCATATTATGCTGCCACCAGTCCGCCAATCAATCCTTAACAGCTCTGTTTTAATTTTAAATTGTAAATAAAATTAAGGTAAAAAAAACCTTTTTAAAAACAAGCTTTTATTCAAATGCACTAAAAAGAAAAAAAGAAAATTTCAACTAAATTAGTTAAAGATATCTGTTTCTAAATAGATTTTCTAATTTTAGAAGTCCGCCATATTGGATTGAGAGTGACGTCACATTTTTTTCGAGTTACTCTCAGCAAGCCCTTTAATTTGATACCCATATTGTAGGAATGCATTAAAAAATGATTGGTCCGCCATTTTGGGTATGCCGCCATATTGGATTTAGAATGACGTCACATTGTTAATCATGCATTGTCATCCAAACTGAACGAGCATACCAAATTTCAGCTTGATCGGTTGAGGGCAAGTGCTTTAAAATTGAGTTGTAAGATTTGACCGTAACAAACATACATAGCAAGTTAAATAAAAGCTTGTAATAAGGTTCATATTTGATTTTCAGTCCCGAAAACGTGCACGAACCGATGGGAATCCTACACGTTCAACGATATGGAGTACATTGTTCACAATTTACCCGTGACCTGGGACATGGCGAAAATCTTGTGCCGGTCAGTTTGTTTCATATTATCCTACTAAATTAAAGTGGAAATTTGTATGGATGTTCGTTACTATTTCCTGCTTAAACGGCTGAACAGGTTTGGATGAAATTTGGCATATAATATAAAGGTTATTTGTTTCTTAGGTTTTCACGCACATCACTCATTAAATAAAACTAGTTTTTACGGGTTTATGCACGAAACTTTATTTATTTATTGACGTTTCGCAGCCTTTTCAGGTCTGCATCGTCAGAATAATGATTTTTTATTTAAAATTGTTTTTAAATTTTAAACGTTATTACCTAAACTAACATATAGGATACTTTTTATGCCGGAATAACGTTACTTTATTGTGTAATTAAAAAAATAACCACAAAGGGAACAGGAGGTCTACTCTGTTTCAACGAAAAACGAAATTTCGCACGTTCTTTACTCTGTTTCTTTATCAATTCGAAATTTCGTTCGTCCGAAAATAGTTTGACAATTAAATTTTCCAAGTCTACAAAACTTTCGAACTAAAAGTTTAATTTGACAGAGATACATAATTGTTCGTTATTTTAACCTCAAATTGACGAAATGAAAAGTGTTACCTTTATTTTCGTTTTGGGATTTTTGTTTAAATTAAGCCTAAAATTACTGCTGGAGTATTATCAATTAAGTCTGCTTAGCGTGAGAAAAATTTTTAGTATGAAAAATTTACAAATATATCGACTCTACAAATTAGTCGCCTAACACTGTCAAAAGAGGTTTTATAATGTCATCAAAAATTTTGACATAAAGCAATATTGATTCCAAGTAAAAAAAGAACTCACAAACATAACTCATTCCATTCATTCACGAAAATTGTCTGTGATTCCGAACGTGCGTGTTCGAAAATAAAATAGAGTAGTCACTGGCGAAATTTCGTTTAAAATTCGTTCGTTGCCGAAAAGTCGACGAAAGCAAGTGATATTATAAAATATCATGTGAATTATTCCTAAATAAGAACGAATATAATAATTATAGAGAAGCTCGATGGCGCAAGTGGTTAGTGCGTTCGGTTGCCATCGTTAAAGTTAAGCAACTTTCGCAGTGGTCGGTTCTTGGATGGGTGACCAAAAATTTATTATCTCGAGCTCCTCCGTGTTCCGGAAGGCACGTTAAGCCGTTGGCCCCGGCTGCATCTGCATATCGTGATATCACCATAGTGGACCATCTCCCTATTCCATCCATAGGGAAGGCCTGAAGGCCTGTGCCCCTGCAGTGGAGACATTAATAGGTTGTGATAATAATTATCATTGTTTTGCAGGGGTCATCACAACGGAACCTTGGCTATATTGGACACAAAGGATAAATCCGAATTCTTGGCAGAGGCTCTATCCGAATCTCAGTTTTGTAAGTTACATACACATAGTTATACTTAAGTATAAGGCTGCCATCTCTAAAATGTGGCAACCAGGATAAGACGCGTGATAACCCCGGATTTTGTTGCCTAGAACCCGGACAGACCAAAAAAAGCAGTTAAAAATGTCACAAATCAACTTTTTTATGTTGATCTAGGCAAAAGAGCTAGCAGTCTACCTCATAATAAGTGGTCACTGCTGCCCATGGACATTTGCAGCACCAAGGGCCACTCAGGCGTTGCCGTAATTTTTTTAACCCGGACTACAAATAAAACCCCGCCCGGATGCTCCCCGGACGCCCCGTAAACTAGGACAAATCCGGGGAAACCCGGACGGATGGCCCTACTTAAGTAAAAGAAGTTTCAATAGTGTGTATGCACTGTTATTTATTGACGTTTCGCGTCCTTCTCATAACTTCTACTGCTTTTTAGGGTATTTTCTATACAACAACCTAAATGGATTATTTAACATCTATCCTCTTCTAAAGAAAATATAACTAGAAAAAATTCCACGCGGACCAGGCAGCAGACGGGACTCGAACCCGCACCCTTCGCAATCCGGGCGAATTGCACTGACCAAAATAATAAAAATTATAACTATAATTGCTATTTCTTCTTTCAAATGTTTAATACTTGTAAAAGTATTCATTTGACATTGTGGGTTACCTATAATGCGAAGAGATGGAGGTGCCTTGCAGCTTAAGAATAGCTAGAAGATTTTCGACGCGGTCCGTGAGGGCCGCGGTAGCATAATTAGTCAGTGCATTCGCCCGGATTGCGAAGGGTGCGGGTTCGAGTCCCGTCTGCTGCCTGGTCCGCGTGGAATTTTTTCTAGTTATATTTCCTTTAGATTTAAACATCAAGCAGTTACATGCTTTAAAAAAAAAATGGGTGCGTGTACTTATGTAGGCGCGTGAGAAGTTATCCTTCTTTGGCATCGTTTAAAATTAGTTTTAATTGCATGCAAATAATTAATAACAATAGATTAATAAAAAGTCTGGAAAAGGACACAGTCAATAAAGTTCAGTTTTAATTTGAAAAAATAAATAAATAATCAAAATATTCAATTAAAATCGCTACTGAATATAATTTATTAGAACATTATGTGATTTGCACTTGTATGAAACTCAAACACGTATTCCGAATATACAAACTAGAAACATGTGGATAAATATTATATATATGAATACCTATAACTGTTACTTTATTACAAAAAATAAAGATGTGGTTTTTGGTTCTACTACACCAATGGTCAAGAGATGGCGCTGTAGTCTCCTGAATCGCGCTTTGGTTCCGTTGTTCCAGATTAATAAATACTTTTGATAGGCTTTCACAATGCAGTCGTTAGCACCCACTAAATAGAAATTCTATTTCTATTTTGTTGGTAGATTTACTTAATGTGCGGTAAACACAAAAGTAAAATTTTGTGTTACAGTGATGCGCGCGCATCTTAAAATTTCACTCTCATCATTTTTTCATAACGCGCCTAACCTACCTGAGGAGCCTTGATTATCAGTCAACAAAAAACGATGGGTTGCACTCCGGGAGTGCCGGCATAAGTGAAAACTTGAATATTAACGTTGTGCATTTTGTGATATTTTGGAATGGTTAAGGAATAATTTTGCACGAATTGCTTTAATTATCAGTATAATAGTACTATCATGTATTTGGTAGAATACAATATTTATTTATTGAACTATCGTACACAAACATGACAATATATATTACATTAAAAAAGTTTATCTCTCAGAAAAATCAACTTACATGAATCACATTTAAGTGCACATAGCGACATCTATTGTAAAAAAAAAAAATTTCAAAAATCATCAATAGAGCTGCCGCGTGGACGTCCTACTTAGCGACTTATTATTATAATACGATAAAATAAATAGTTACTATGTTTCGTCCAATATATTGAAAGTCAACAACCTTTCCAATTTTATTGTGTATCATGATGCTATCAGCCCACGTGTTTAACCTGACGCGAGTTTAACATTTTTTACCCATACAAAAGAAAGTGTACAACGCCGCTAAAGAAGTTTTCACTTCAAAAAATAATTACTCCTCTTAGGTAGTGTGTCTGCCCAGGCCCCCCATTTGCGTGCACTCATCTATGATTTTGTATTTGTCCCTGTGTGTGATTTGCCTTTGAATTTTTGCAGTGATCGAATCCGTATGGATTGGCGCTCGACGTGCGTCTGCAGATGACCCGGCCGGCTACAGGTGGAGCCATGGTGTAGAGTTGAGAAGAACAGCAGGTGACGTCATGGGCAATACGGAGACTGAGGGAGACGGCAAGAAGCACTATCCTATGGTAAGAACAGATGCACTACAGTGTAGTATGAATAGCTGCGCTGCGTATGATAACGAGTTCGGTTGCGATCGTTGAAGTTAAGCAACTTTCGCAGTGGTCTGGCATTGGATGGGTGACCAAAAATTTACTATCTCCAATTCCTCCGTGCTTTGGAACGCACGTTAAGCCGTCCTGACTGCATCTGTATTCATTAGGACCCACCAATCTGCACTGGGCCCGTGTGATGGGTCAAGGCCAAATCTCCTTTTTCCATCCATAGGGAAGGCCTGTGGCCCAGCAGTGGGGACAGTAAAAGGCTGATGGTGATGATAACGTGCGTCTGCGGATGACCACGTCGGCTATAGGTGGAGTCATGGTATGAAGTTGTGTCATGGGCACTACGGAGACTGAGGGAGACGGCAAGATAGTTAGAAAAGATGTACTAACTTATGATATGAAGAGCAAACTACACTTCCCTAATGGTATTAAAAGTTACATTACCCTTTAGTATTAAAAGCTGCATACGGTATGAGATGAGGAGCATAACGGCGCAAGTGGTTAGCGCTTACAGTTGCCGATCACGGATGTTAAGCAACTTTTGCCGGACTTCGGATTGGTGGGCGAAAACTTATAATCTCTCGTTCAGCTATGGAGTGAAGCTGAGGAGAACTGCAGCTGATGTCATGGGCGGGGTAATCTCATATTGAAGTCATTTTTCAATTTGACGACTCTGTATATAATACAGGGAGAGAAAAACAGCCCTTGCTGAGTTTATTTGCCAGTTCTTCTCGGTACAAGATCTCCTGCCGTAGATTTGGGAACCGATGGCGTAGCTTTTCGATATTCACAAGTGCTTGTAACAGCCTTGACTGAATAAACGATATTGAATTTTAATTTGAATAAATAAGAAAAATACTTATATGTGTATGTTTATGTTTTCCATCTGTTACGCTAGTATCCCATAACACGAGCCTTACAGTGCTTACTTTGGGGCTAGGTTAATTGGTGTGTAGACGCGGTGAAGTCCCACAACGGGAATGGGAATCTCGCGGTACCGTACTTAGCAGCGTAGAGGGTATTCGCAGGGTTTTTAGCGGATAGTATGCCGTCAGCGCTCGTAAGCCGCACGGACTGCCTAATGGCTTCTCCGTTTTGCACCCGTGAGACTTGCGAGAGGCTAGGTGAGGTCCGTTCGTTGGTGTGCGCCAACATCTGTCAATAAAGGTTTTGTCTGCTTAAAAAAAGGTAAATTGGTGTGTGGTTTATTATATCTCATTTCTCCTACAGTGGTTGAACCGCACTCACGTGCCAGTGCCCGAAGGAGGGGCTGACTGCGTGGCCCTGGAGCGGGTGTACCACGACCGGCCCGTGTTCGTCGACCTGCAATGCCAGATCGACAGGCCTTTCGTCTGTGAACGAGGTAACGTCGATGCCATCACTAAAAAAAAAACAATGAGATTCTTGTAGGGTAAGTAGGTTCATGTATTCAAATTATTTAAACCCCTCACGGAAAATGAGGGGTTAGGTTAGGGGTTTTAAGTTTAACGTGTCTGTGTGTCTGTCTGTGGCATCGTAGCTCCTAAACAAACGGACCGATTTGGATGCGGTTTTTCTGATTTGAAAGCTGACATGATTGAAATTGTTCTTAGCCATAATTTACGAAGATCTTCCGTTCGTTCATTCAGCCCTGTTTCATACCGATTACATCAGGTGTTCCTCAGGGTTCTTGATTTCAAGTTTGAAATTTGAATAGCAGTTAATTTCGGTAATGTTGCTATGCGTTGAGCTCACTCCTACTGCGGAGTTAATGAACTTCTGTTCCACCAGATGCTCAACTTGAGGAGAAAGTCAGCGAGCTGAAGGTGGTCCGGTGCCGTACCGGGCTGTACCATATATACGGCGGCCGGATGGACTGGCATCAGGCAGCTGCTTACTGCGCACTCAACAAGATGAGGTTTTTATCATCCTCCATCATCATCGTCATCAGCCTGTGGGAAAGCCAAATGGGCAGATCTTCCTCCGAGCTGGGTGATCTTAGATCTGGGACCGTGGTTCTACCAATGTTTACGTAATGTGGCTTTCGAATCTCGTACACGATTTGCACTCAATATATTCTTTTTTATCTATATAACCAGGTAGACAAATGAGTCTACCCCACCTGATGTTAAGTGGTGATAAAGTCCAAACGCGAAGGTAGCTGGTACAGCAGTTATAAACTGCCACACCAACCATCTTCACCTTGCCGGCCTGCAAAAAAGCTTCTTCACGCCTCTCTTAAAGTACCCCAGATTATAGGAAGGAGGGAACACGTGCGCGGGCAAAGAATTTCACTTACGAATAGTACGACAAAGAAATGAGTCACCAAATTTCTTTGCACGTGTAGGAATAGTGGCCACAGTAAGTTGGTGGTAACGTAGGCCAGCGCGCGTGGTCCTCTGAAGACAAGTGATATAGGGATAAGGGAGAATAACTCCTCAGAACACTCGCCGTGGTATAGTCGGTAGAATGCGCTTCATAATTCATTATTATAATATTGTTTTGCAGCTTGGCCAACATCGGCACGATGCACTGCCTAAAGAAACTGGGGATGTCAATGTTGAAGACAAGACCGAGTGAGTATTGTTTTATAGTATCACTAGTGGCCCGCCCTCCCTTCGCTTCGGTGTAGAGCTGTAGTGTAAACTATAGTTTTTGTTCTCAGGCTTGTGTTATAAACAATGACTTTATTTATATAATTACACGTGTTATTGTGAGTCAACCATAAAAGATAGACATATGCTGTTGCGGGATATTTTTTTGAAAATTTTATGTCGAATATTTCCGTCGTACATGATTTCTATGTAACTTTAACCATTAAAGCTGCACACGCGACGGAAGCTTAGAAAATGGAGTATCTTCTCCCGTTTTTCCAACATTTCCCTTCACTACTCTGCTCGTATTGATTGTAGCGTGATGAAAAGTATACTATAACCTGCCCAGGAAATCCGCCGAGTAGTTTTTGTTTCTATAAGGAACATACAGACAGACACACAGACAGACAGACAAAAATTTTACTGATTGCATTTTTGGCTTCAGTATCGATCACTAATCATCCCCTGATAATTATTTTGAAAATATATTTCATGTACAGAATTGACCTCTCTACAGATTTATTATAAGTATAGATTATTATAATGAGTGGGTTTAAATAAGTGCCATTATTTGTTAAACTTGAATTTAAAGTTTAGATTAAGCTATAAACAATGATATTGCCTGTCGTGAAGCTTATAACTTGGCTTAAGAGAAATAATAAAAACATAAAAACATACGACAAGAGATCGCTTAAATCGATGAGGCTGCCTTTGCCCACATTATATTACTGTTTTCTGTTTTGTATTATTTTGTGGGTGTGTAATAAAGAATTTATCTATCTCTCTATCACTCTGTTCCTTCTTCAACTCTTAGTCCAAAATGTAAGTAAATAAAATAATCAAATATCTAACCGCCACATTAATAAACAAGGAATAAGCTTAGACTAGTTACGCCGTGTTTTGTTCATGTCACTCAAAAGCCATTTGTTATTCAATGAACTGAGATAAAACATAGAGTAACTAATCCCAGCTTAGTCTTCGTTCATTTAAAAAGATTTTAAACTTTCATGGTCACTAACATTATAGTAATATAAGTTACTAGCGGCCCGCCCTCGCTTCGCTTCGGTGTAGAGCTGAAGTGTAGACTACAGTTTTTGTTCTCAGGCTTGTATTATACCCAATGACATTCATCTATGATTCTTCTTATACCTGCATGCAAAGTCTCAGCCCGATCGGTTTAAAATTGACAAAGTTTCAAACAAACTTTCATTCCCTATTTAAACCCCTTTGGGGGTAGAATTGATCAAAATCCTTTCTTAGCGGATGCCTACGTCATAACATCTACCTGCATGCCAAATTTCAGCCCGATCCGTCCAGTGGTTTGGGCTGTACGTTGATAGATTACTATGTCAGTCAGTCACCTTTGAGTTTTATATATATAGATTTACGGGATTGTTATCATGTACCTTGTTTTTACCGAGTTTCCGATATTTCGGCACTGTTGCAAGCGCCATGATTACGGAGTAACTGAAGTAATTGCGGGTAGGATGTTATTGGCAGACATATCGGCCTACCCTCCGACGAAGTCTTTTATTGCGTTCGATACCCGTATCATTGTTCACATTCTCACTATTCACTCGAAACTGTTCCCGACACACAACACTTACAGTATCGGATCGCGACACGACACTTTCTTGCTTAGTTACGGTTTTACACATACGAACCATACTTGATCATGGCGCTTGCAACAGTGCCGAAATATCGGAAACTCGCTAAAAACAAAGTACATGGTAACAATCCCGTAAATAACTTATATTACTATAAGAGGGCAAATGTTTAGGTATTGAGAACGCATGGATCGGAGCCAAAGGTATCCTGGGCAAGTGGTCTTGGGTTGACAGCGGACTGAACATCTTCCAACGGCCGAATTTCGCAGATACCATGCAGGACGAACTGTGGCCGCCGATGAGGTAAACATTCCTAATTTACAACCATTGATTTTCCTTTCATCCATTCATCCATCTATCCATCAGCCTTTCTTCGTCCACTGCTGGACATAGGCCTCCCCCATGGAACGCCACAATCCGCGGTCCTGCGCTATCCGCATCAAGCGGCTCCCAGCACATTTGACGATGTCGTCAGTTCACCTTGTTGGGGGCCGCCCCACGCTGCGGCGTCCGGTACGTGGTCGCCACTCGAGGACCTTTCTTACCCAACGGTTGTCAGATCCTCGAGCGATGTGGCCTGCCCATTGCCAATTCAGCGTGCTAACTCTTCGGGCTATATCGTACACTCCGGTCCTTCTACGGATCTCCGTATTTCGGATCTTATCACGTAGGGAAACACCGAGCATAGCCCTCTCCATAGCACGTTGCGCGACTCTAAGTTTTGTTATGAGACCGACATACAGAGACCACGTCTCAGTCCCATAAGTCATCACTGTCCTTCTGATCCTTCTCCTTCGGCAGATTCTCCTTAACCTAACCTAATGTCGCGATTACACTTGGTCGCTAGCCCGAATGCGAGTGCCACTGGAATTCGGGTAAACGGCTAAGTGTAAATGATCGGAGTCAAGTACGTAGTTTTCGTTTTGGTTACCCGAAACCGTTTTCCAGCCCATATTCCAGTGTTAATATTGCTTCATCATCAGTCTATTAATGTCCCCACTGCTGTGGCACAGCCCTTCCCGATGGATGGAATAGGGAGATTGGGCCATGACCCACCACGCGGGCCAAGTGCGGATTGGCGGGTGCTAACGACTGCAGATGCAGCCGGAACCAACGGCTTAACGCACCTTCCGAAGCACGGAGCAGTTCCAATGACCGACCACTGCGAAAGTTGCTTTTAACTTCAACGATCGCAGCCGAACGCGCTAACCACACGCGCCACCGAGCTCCTCAATATTGCTTCGGGTGCCCGAATTTGAGTAGTGTCTTTCGTGCACCCGAATACAAGCTAACGACCAAATGTATTTGAGCTACTATTTATCCCCTGATGCACTCATACGCACTTTTCGGTTGCGGTTACAACTAGCCTCTAATGGGACCAAATCACACCAACCACCCATGGCCTGGCGAACCCTCATGGTTATGCAGGCCTTGCAGAATGGCCTCCACCGCGCGTTCTTTCTTGACTCCCTACAAATTATTCTTTATCTATCTCTTTGTCCCTATGGAACCCCAGAAAGGGGTTCTGGGGCGGACGTACACGAAACGCCTTCGTCGCCATCGCAGCCGTCCCGTGCCCACACTGAAGTGGTACCGCTGGCTCCAATTTTACGGTCCTCTTCTCTCTTCGCCTCGGGTCTTCTTTCTTCACCTCTCGAGTCCACTCCGAATCCTGTGCCATCTACGCGCGAAATCCTGCAGCTGCCTGAAGTTCGCCTCCGATCCCACAAGGTCGCAATGGTAGACCGGCCCAACCTCGAGCACCTTCATACTGTCCAGAAGTTCCCTACGCGCCTCTAATGGGACCCTCAAATGGGTGAATTCCGACTCGCGACCCATGACAACGGCTAACTAGGGCCGAGGTCCGAGTCTCAGAGACGCCCTCTAGTTGAGCCGACTCCTTCAGGTTCGAGTGGTCTAGAGGCTCCAGACGGAGAGGACGCTCCCCCCGTGGAGAGATGCCATCCGCCTGGAATACCTCTAGAGGCACTCGCCAATTCTCGGCTTGAGGCCCCCTTGGATCTCGCCGTCCCCAAACCCGGTGACGCTGTAAAGGTCATCTGCGACCGACAGCACAACCTATGAAAAAATTAAAATAAAACCGGCCCGTGACCATCAAACAGAAATCAAAGGTACTATCTAAAAAGTGCCATTTTCCGCATGTTCCGACAATGTCCAGTGCTGGCTGCACGAGGGATATTCGTTCACATCACCAGCCTATTAATGTCTACAATGCTGGAGCTCAGGCCTTCCTTTTGGATGGAATAGGGAGATTGGGCCATGAAGACTCACCACGCGGGCCCAGTGCAGATTGGTAGGTGCTAACGACTACAGATGCAGCCCGGACCAACGGCTTAACGTGCCTTCCGAAGCACGGAGGAGCTCGAGAAAACAAAGTTTTGGTCACCCATCCAATGATCGACAACTGAGAAAGTTACTAAACTTCAACGATCGCAGCCGAACGTGCTAACCATTTGCTTTCCTCCTCATTCGTTGCTGAACTACATTATGATTTGATTACTTATTTTAGGGCGAGAGGGATTGCCAATCCTGGCACTACACTTCAACCTAATTGATAATAGCCAATCAAACAATCGAACCAATCAGCTCTCTGACCAGAGAGCAACGACGGAATCAGAACTAAGTTTTGATGTTATGAGCATTTGACACACATAACTGTGGCGCGCCCGCCAAGTCCACAAGACCATTCTAACATCTTTCTATGTAATTTGTTTTCTTTTAATATATAGTTCCGACAAATGACTCCAACTCACCTGATGTTAAGTGGAGGTGAAGTCCAGACGCGAAGATAGCTGATACAGCACTTCTACCTGCCACACCAGCCATCCTCACCCTGCCGGCCTGCATGTTGCTATGTTGCTTCTTCACGCCTCTTTTAAAGGATCCCAGGTTGTAAGAGGGAGGGAACACGTGAGCGGGCAGAGCATTCCATTGACGGATAGTGCGACAAAGAAATGAATCACCAAATTTCTTTGTACGCGTTGGAATTTTAGCCACAGTTAGACGGTGACAACGTAAGCCAGCGCGCGTGGTCCTCTGAATTAAAGGGGAAGGTGGAATAAGAGAGAATAACTCCTCAGAACACTCGCCGTGGTACAGACGATAGAACGCGCTTAGTGACGCCACGTCACGGCGTAATTGAAGAGGCTCAAGGTTTTTGGCGCTGTAAGGAAAAAGCTTGCCCTTCCCTGCTGTAGCCTGTAGGCCTATTCGCTACCGGTTTCTGACAGATGGAAGTGATAGCCACCGACCTATTTACTGACAGGTACACAACTATTTTATCATAACGTCAGTAACACACATGTCTTTAAAAAAGCCTCTGTTAAGAGAGGTAAGGCATAGCGGATTATCCACTCCAATTGGAGTACCCGTCTGGGGAAATAACCTTTCCACTAAAAGACCACAATAAAATAACATGACTTTTTAGTGGCGTTGCGTTTTTGTCGGTGAGTAGGGTTTTAGGGCTTCACGGATTATGCGCGGGCCATCCTGCGCACGTCTGCGGGGCCCCCCCATTCCCCGGGAGACCCCTGCCGTGGAGTCCCGGCTAAGCCGGGAGGCTGCAAGGTGCGAAGACGCGTAAGAATCCCTAAACGGGGATCCCACGGCTTCGCGCTAATCAGCTTAGAGGGTATTCGCAGGGTTTTTAGAGCCGCCCCGTTCGCCCGTAAGAGTTACGGGGTCCTCAGTGGGTAGCCACTGCTGGGGCTTGTAAGGCTTGCGGGAGCCAGGTGTGAGGTCCGTTTGGCGGTGTGGCTCTTAAAGGCGCCGTCGTCTATAAACAGTAGTTTTTGTCTGCGTATAAAAAAAATGGCTTCACGGAGTAGGGGTTTGGGTCAGGGCGCGATTAATACTTTGGTATTGCAAGCGTCTATATGCTGTAGTGGCCGTTTACCATCAGACGGGTGATATCCTTGTTAACCACTCCTTTAATTTAAAAAAACCGCAGTGCAGCGAAACAGACAATACTTGTTGTAATTCTTGGAATCTTTTTGAATGCCCTTTTTATCCGACTGCGCAATGCAAGAGCGACGCGACGCGCAGACAGGGTATAGTGTTTAACAGTCTGTATATGTATGTATGTTCCTTTGTGGCACACTAGAGACCAAACGCGTGGACCCATTTTGATGATTCATACATCAATCGATTCGTCTTAATCATGGGAGTGCTACTAAAGGTATGATAGTAATCAAAATTCAATATGGGGACAATAAGGGGCCATCTTGTGACGAAGTAAAAAAAATAAGTTGACGAAATAGGTCGAGTGGGGTATCATTGTCTAGATAATCGAAAATCATGTTTAGGTTCCCTAAACCGTTTTTCATTTTATATGACTGTTTTTACAGTAGTACTGAACGACCCAGTAAAATAATCCTTGTTGAACGTGCAGGGACAGGAATACAGTGAAACAGAACGGGTGCCTACAGTTAGACAGACACGCGGCGCATCCACCCGTGTTTATGGAGGCTCGCTGCGAAAGGAAGATGCAGTTCATCTGCTACCAGGGTGAGTAATTCATCACCATCATCAGCCCATTAATGTCCCCACTACTGGGGACAGGCCTTTCCTATGGATAGAATAGATTTGGCCGTGACCCAGTGTGGATTGGTGGGTGCTAACGACTGTAGATGCTACCAGTACCAACGGGTCAGCGCCTTCCGAAGCACAGAGTAGTGAGAGACGCCAATGAACGCACTTCATTCCTTCATTTTTTAGATTACTTTAGGACAGCTATACTCTAAGTGTGTTCCGCGGAACCCTAGGGTTCCGTGATACCTCTGTCGGGGTTCCGCAAGAATTTAGAAATAAAAAAATCAAAACACCTCTCTCTGGTCGCTCCGCGGCTGTGCGGACTCCGCGGCCGCGCGGAGACAAAACGCTATGAATGTTATTTATTTATTTATTTGTATTTGTATAAGCTTGTGTTACATTAGCTGGTACAATATCTCATAAGTTTGGTCTCAACAATTTTATACTTGTACAACGCGTTCGCTCTAAGTTTGCCGGTCTGTGGAATGCGCGTACCCTCCCCCACGTGACAACAAAACTTATAATGTGTCATAGTTTTACCCAAATATCTAACGTACACAATTTTTATTGTTACAATTAAATAAAAAATTTCGAACGTCATACACTCATACCTATCGCCAGCGGCAAACTTAAAACGAGCGGGTAGTATACTTGTAAGCGCTCAGTCTCTTTGATAAAAGCCGCCTCTGAATTAGACGCTATAGTTGTCAACTAGCGACTTTCGTCTCTAACTTCAAAGGATAAAGTCGATATTGTTTACAACGCTATTTTTAAATTTCTGTTTTTATTTTTGCTTTTTGTTTATCAAAGGTGCCGACTCGAGTATTTTCGAGAATATTTGAGATCGAGTCTAGGACTAAGTATAAAAGCGGCGATCGCGCGTTGGCGTCGTCAGTTGATGATTAGCGTTCGGAGCGATAAGTTACTACCTACTTACAAGCTCGCTAGCGAGAAACTGGTGTTCATTGTTTTACTGCCTGCTGTATTCTGTTGTCTCAGTTTTATACATTTCTTCCCTGTAGGTTCTAAATTTAGTCTCTTATACGCAGTAACGATTGTGCATTATTTAAACCCCACTATCCTGACTTGTAACATTATAAATAAAGAAGAATGGAACGTTGGCTTAAAGGTGTTAAACGTGTTCCAACAACATCTTCTAATGACGCTGAATGTTCAAAAGCAATGCGCGCGGAGAATTTAGCAATCACCGATCCAGAAGATGATGCCACGAGTGCCACGACGTCAAGCTCGACGGTTTCAAAGACGAAAAAAAGGAAGTATGATGAATCTTATATCAGTTTCGGATTTGTTGATTCCAACGGCTCACCTCTCTGCATGCTCTGTAGTAAACTGCTTCCTAATAGTTCCATGGCACCTGCCAAATTGCGTCGACATTTAGAAACCGTACACCCCGAGACTAAAGACAAGAATAAAGAATTTTTTGTTCGCAAAAAAGATCAGTTATTAGAAAGTCAAAAAAATATGATGCATGTAACACAAACTACCAACGAAAAGGCCACGGAGGCATCATACTTAGTTAGCTATCGCATTGCACAAGCAGGTGAAGCGCACACTATCGCTGAGAAATTAATAAAACCATGTGTATTAGACATAACAAAATGTATGCTTGATGAAAAATCTGCAAAGCATCTTTCTACTGTTCCGCTATCAAACGATACTGTTTCACGACGAATCCATGATCTGGCAAGCTACGTCAAACAAGAACTAGTTACACGTCTACAAAATACACGATTCGCTTTGCAAATGGACGAGTCGACTGATGTCGCTGGTTTGGCTATCCTGCTGGTTATTGTGAGATATCCATATAAAAGTTCTTTTGAAGAAGACATGCTTATGTGTTCATCGCTGCTTACAAACACTACCGGGGAAGAAATTTTTAATAAAATAAATATATTTTTTGAAGAACATAATCTCAGTTGGAACAATTGCATTGACATTTGTACAGATGGGGCCAAGGCGATGACAGGTAAAACAGCAGGAGCAGTGTCACGAATGAAAAATAAAGCGCCTAATTGTAGTTCCAGTCATTGTATTCTGCATAGACAAGCACTTGCGATGAAGCAAATGCCGTCTAATCTAAAATTAGTTATGGATGAAGCGGTAAAAATAATTAATTTTATCAAATCACGACCACTACAATCCCGATTGTTCTCATTATTGTGTGAAGATTATGGCAGCAAACATAAAACACTGCTGCTCCATACAGAAGTGCGATGGCTGTCTCGGGGAAAAACTTTAACAAGGCTATTTGAACTTAGAGCCGAGTTACAAATGTTTCTTTCAGCAGATACTTCTTTTAATTTGAAGGACCGTTTGTATGATAAAACTTGGTTGTTCCGATTGTCTTTTATGGCGGATATCTTTCAAAAACTTAACGAATTAAATTTATCATTGCAAGGTAAACAGACAACAGTGTTTCAGGCCTATAATAAAATAACTACTTTTAAAAGAAAATTAGATTTTTGGATCATTTGCATTGGTAAGAAAGAAATAGAAAGTTTTACGTTACTCACTGAGTTTGTTAGCGAAAACGACTCAGAAATGTTTGAAGATAATGTGTTTGAAGAATTGGTCCAATATCTCAGTTCGATGCGCGCATCTTTTGAAAAGTATTTTCCCGAAGAACACAATACAAAAATTAAAGTGAACTCCTGGATTCATAATCCTTTTTTACCCAACTTGGAAAAGCCTGAAAACATGTCAAATGAGATATATGAATCTCTTTTAGAAATGTCATCAGACACAAGTATGGAGTCATTGTTCAAAACGACGCCTCTTAATGATTTTTGGTGCAGAATCCAAGATGAATATGCAATGCTTGGCCAAATGGCTCTGGATATTCTTCTCCCGTTCCCAACTACATATTTGTGCGAAACAGGATTCTCTACCTACGCAGCCACGAAAACAAAATATCGCAATAGACTGGACGCCGAAGCTGATATGAGACTCCAACTTTCTTCCATCAAACCTGATATCAAGCAATTGATGAAAAATAAAAAACAGTTTCATACCTCCCACTAGTTAGATTTTTTCTTTTTTAATGTTTTCTATTATTGTCCTTACCAAGTGGTGAAGTAAATAATAATTAGTAACGGATACATTGTACTTTTATTATGCTGATTAATATAGAATACACTTATAAAAATAATTGTTTTATTGTAGGGTTCCATCAAGTATTTTGCTTCCCAAAAGGGTTCCGTCATTTAAAAAGTTTGAGAACCACTGCTTTAGGAAATCGGCGGTTTTTTTTAAATGATACTTCATTTCGGACGGGGTGTAAATGGAAAAATCCTGAGGAAAATATGTAATGATAATGCGTCACGAGCGTCACTTGACTATATATAGGGTGAAATTGAATGTTTCTATGAAACTTCGTGAGATTGTTGGGTTATGTGTATAGAGTATGCCTGTCTTTTTTCGGATTTTTTTGAAGTATATTTTTTCATGTATTTATTTATAATTTGTGTATTTTTATGTCCTTTCCTCGTTTTGAGTAGTTATTCATTTTAAACAAACAAACTTACATATCCAGTGAAAAACAACTAATAAATAAGCACTTCTAAAAAACGGAAAAACATTGAAATTCCACCGCGGGTCAACGACCGATCGCGCCCGCCAGCCGTTGAGTGAGTAGGTACCTAACTCTACACAGAGCTCAACTGACTCGTTTGATTCCACACAATACAATAAAATCGTCTTAGATGCCTTTATTGAAATTGAAATAATAAGCACAAATGTCATCTTCTCTTAAGCAGAGAAAAACTTTAAAAGTTAATAATAACGATTGGAAATAGGCAAATGTTAAACAAAAAGAAATACTTATTGCTTAATACTTGGGTCAGAATGAAATTTATAACCAGGTATTCAAAAGTACTTACGAGACCGGCGATCACTAGAACTTTTTATCAAATCAATCACGCTGGTAGTACACAATTAGTTGTTTCTAATCAAAAAGTATTTACACTAGCAATAAAAAGAGACTTAAATTATTATCTGCAAAATTGTTGCTCTAAACCACCATTTTGCTGCAAACAAAGGTAGGCATGTTTGCGGACGTGTCTTTTCACCTTTTTTAAAGTGTCCCTATCACTACTCACTGCACAAAATGCAACTTCTATGGTTTGGGGACTCATTCGTAAACCAAACCTACTTCGTCACACTCGCGATAGCAGTACACCATCTCTAAATATTCTTGGTTTGTATACCGAGGCATAATGAAATTATCACAGTGTATGTCACCAAGTCAAAAGATGCGCACGCCCACGCGCGATTGATATACTTGCGACTGCGTTTTGCATGCAATCAAAGCAAACGTCCGCGTGCGGGGAAAAGGGGAGGTGCGCGGCATTCACATCATCAAAGACGCCGCAACCGGCGCTAGTTGCCAGCGTGCGGCGCGCCGCCCGCCCGTGCTTGCCGCAAAACAACATATTATTATATGTGTGTGTGTGTGTGTGTGTATGTGTGACTGTGGCTGTGATTAAATGTGTTCGGAATTTCATGACGTGGGCAAATCAGACACGAAGAGTTCCTTCCTTCACTAAGCTCGTAAGTTATACCGATTTGCTCTTAATTTTAAGAAGATTTATTTTATTGATTAATTACCTGTGCTTTATGAAATAATATTCAAAGGTATTGTGTATCAGTGAATAAATAATTATAATATAGCATCTAAGACTATTTTATTGTATTGTTTTTAAATAGTGTGGATCAAAGCGGAGAGTAGGTAAGCGCCGAGTCATCTGTGCGTGTAGTAGGTACCTAGGCGGCCGCCGGTCGTCGCCCCGACCGGCGCTGATCTCGACTGGAGGCATAATGAAGGCATTCATTAAGTTTCCGTTTTTTTAGAAGTGCCTATTTTAAGTTGCTTTATAACTTCTATGTAGACGTGTTTAAAATGAATAATTACTCATAAGGAAGAAATGACAAAAAAATAACCAAATAAAAAATTACAAAAACGAAAAAAATTATTTTAAAAAATCCGAAAAAAATCAGGCATACTCTATACACGTAACCCATCAATCTCACGAATTTTCATAGAAACATTCAATTTCATCCTGTATATATGTGTGGTTGTGTGTGTGTGTGTGGGATGCGTGCGCAGCTCTTCCCAACGAGCATGAAAGTTGGAGGGTCCTCGGCGAAAGCTGAAATGCTACGAGCGTCACATTCGACAATATACATATATACACATATATATGAGTGATGCGTGCGCTGCTCCACTCCCCTATGCCTTATGCATTGCCTAATGTTAGTTACTTAAAAAAAATCGGTTGTCTATAAAGTCGGTTTACTGACGATGGTTGAACGTGACTACGTTTTTTTACAATGTACATAGTTCTATTCAATATTAATTAAATGCCACGAAATAGTTCTGTTAACTTATTGATATAGTTTATAGCATAACCTACAATTGCTGCACTAGCGGACCGATGCTATTTATTTTAATGATGAAAGCACGAATATTCGACAATATATCACTGAAAATATAATTAATATCGAAAGAATCGTTACCTTTATCGCCGCAATTATCGTTGCTATAAACAATTGACACCACATTCACTTTTCATTGCACTTCATTCTTGACGAAAACATGTAAATGTATTATTGTATAGCAACTGTTCACGCGGACGCATCGCTCACTCAAGTAGGAGAGAGACAGATGTCGAACGCTGCCGAACGCGGAGGCCGATTGTGCCTCTTTTTCGCTCGATGCGCGCTCTCGCTTGCACTTCAATCCTTAAATGGAACGCCTCAGAGCGAGGTAACGTCGCATGAGTCATGTTTTTTCGTGCGTGCAGCCGGCTCCATCGAATTATAAGACGTTGTCACGTCAAAAAGAAGTTTGTCCAGTAATTTTTATTTTATTTTTAATTAGATTTTTTCTTTCAAAAACTCAGGTGTCCAGAGTCTGGAATCCTCCACGATGATGTCCAACGACGACCTTTACTACTACGTACTGGTCAGACAGCTGCTTTATTGGCAGCACGCTTACGAGAACTGTAAGCGAATGAATGGATCCCTGGCTGCTGTGGACAGCGGGGAGGTGCTGATGCAACTGCTGCTGGCTATGGGGGAGAATAAGGAGGAGCGTGAGTTGAAATCCTTATGTTCTTCTTCTTCTAGTGCCTCTTCAAACAGCGAAGGTTGGCAGTCAGCTTAGCATACGTCTCCTTATCCTTAGCGAGATGGAATAATTCAGCGGCGCACGATATTCCAGTCCATTCTCGTAGGTTCCTCAACCAAGACTTCTTCCTGCGACCGACGCCTCGTTTTCCAGCAACGTTGCCCATCATTATTAATTGTAAAAGGGCGTACCTTTCGTATCTCATCCCTTGCCCTAGATTCGCAACCTTCCTCACTCTGATGGTATCACAAAGTTCGCGTTTCTTATTATCCTTAATAACTACGTACTGGTCAGACAGCTGCTATACTGGCAGCACGCTTACGAGAACTGTAAGCGGAAGAATGGTTCCCTGGCTACTGTGGACAGCGAGGAGGTGCTGATGCAACTGCTGTTGGCTATGGGGGAGAATACGAAGGAGCGTGAGTTGAAATCCTTGTATTATCCTTTGACGACCTCCGTGGCCGAGTGGTATGTACGCCGGGTTTCATGGTGTCGCCAACTCGACGGGTCCCGAGTACGAATCTCGGTGGGGCAGATGCTTGTGTGATGAATATTTATTGACGTGACAACGTCTTAAATTAGGTTGCGGCTGGGAGTCACTTATGAAAAAGTGTAACGCTCGGTAACGTTACGATGAGTCTCTCGTGTTAAGTTTAAGTTTACATGTACAATGTTTTAGTAAACAAAATATATTTCTATAGTTAAAATTTGTGCAATTCTTATTTTCATTCAATTCCTTGTTCCTATTGTGCAATTTAATTATATTCATATCAATAAATATTCTACCGAGAAAAAGACGTTGTCACGTAAAATCTTCGCCCGTAAAACCGACTTTACAGGCAACCATTTTTTATTTATTTTACATTTTTGTTGTAGATTTTCAGTCTTAGATTAGTTCTAGTCAAAAACAAGAACCGTATGAAGGGCATCGCAGCTCTTTTATCATCATCATCAGCCTATTAATGTCCTCACTGATGGGGCACAGGCCTTGCCTATGGATGGAATAGGGAGATTAGGCCATGACCCGCACGCGGACCCAGTGCGGGTTGGCCGGTGCTAACGAATGCAGATGCAGCCGGGACCAACAGCCAGACCCCTCTTTCCCAGTGGGCACTTTGGGCAAGTGCCCAGGACCCCGCTATCTATAGGGGCCCCCCACCGATCAAACGGGGGTCATAGGGGCCCCATTATCCTAATATGCCCAGGGCCTCCAATAGGTCAAAGACGGCACTGCCAACGGCTTAACGTGCCCTCCGAAGCACGGAGGTACTCTGGTTACCCATCCAATAACCGACCACTGCGAAAGTTGCATTAATTGTATTAAAATATTTCAATTGCATTTTTACAACATGAACATGAATGAAACAATCAAAATTTATCCTCGAGATATTCTTTGCATGTTATAATAAGCCTTATTTTGGATTTTTTTGTCAATATCATGAGGACATTGGAGCGAGGGCTTTAATAGAATTCGGCAAGTGGCAACTTGGACAGCCCTCTAAAAAGATCCTTTTTTAAATAAGTCTAGATGTGGTATGCATTGACATTGGCGGGCCGTGATACGTAGCGTCGAGGCACATCACCGACTTTTTCGAAATAATGTGGAATTTTACGTACGAGCATTTGTACTCCAGTCATGGATTTGTAATATATATTTCTATAAAAATCAGTATATGTATTCCATCTGTTACCCTAGTATATACAAGCCAACAGTGCTTACTTCGGGGCTAGGCTAATAGGTGTGTGTTGGAAATATTTTATTTTATTAAAATTCTTTGTGTGAAGATAATTTTTTCTTTGTACATTGCTGGTAATGTAATTCGGTAATGTACAAGTAACAGTTGTTGACTTGTTGACTTTGTTGACAGCAATCCGTCACATCTGGATCTCCGGCCGTTTGAGGATGACCAAGGAGCAACAGTCCGACTCCATAACATACACCTGGTACAACCCAAGGAACAGGAAGACGATAAACGACCCAAACAACCATCATAGCCCAGGAGCTAACACCTACGTAAGTTTCTTTAAAAAGAGTATTTTTTTTTGTGTTCAAAGGTTGGCAAACATGCATAAAGCTCGCCTGATGGTAAGCGGCCACCAAAGCCTATAGACGCTTCATCATCATCATCATCCACCTATTAATGTCCCCACTGCTGGGGTACAGGCCTTCCCTATGGATGGAATTTTATTTTATTTTATTTATTCGGTATACATAACATATTACAATCAACAAAGTACTGACTTATTAATAATTGATGAATCGATCAAGATTGCAACACTTAACATGCATACACAAAAAAATAGTTATATTCTTTATATATATAATTCTTCTGTGAGTGTGTATGTCACTGAACTTCTCTTAAACGACCGGGCCGATTTTGATGAAATTTTTTGTGTGTGTTCAAGGGGATCTGTGAATGGTTTAGATTCACAATTTTGTCCGCTGGACAATGTTTTTTTAATTAAATTTTTTTATGGCGGTACGAAGTTCGCTGGGTCAGCTAGTAGTTATATAAAACAATGAACACTAAAGCGATATTTACTGTTACATTGCATTAAATTAAATTCATTCAAATAAAATCAAATTGAATATTATAAATTAGATAAAATTAATTACAATTGATTTAAATATATTATATTAATGTAATTATATTACATTACAATAAACAAATCATTAGCAAATCAATTAAATAAGATATTATCAAGTACATATTTAATTATATAAATCAAGAAAAAAGAAACAAAAAAAAATATAATAAATAGACTAAAGGAGTAGAGAACTATAGAAATAGAGAGATTGGGCCATGACCCACCATGCGGGCCCAGTGCGGATTGGTGGGTGCTAACGACTGCAGATGCAGCCGGGACCAACGGCTTAACGTGCCTCCGAAGCACGGAGGAACTCTAATAAATTTTTGGTCACCCATCCAATGACCGACCACTGCGAAAGTTGCTTAACTTCAACGATTGCAGCCGAACGCAATAACTACTTGCGCTATTGAGCTCCTCATACGCATAGACGCTTGCGATACAAATAATATCACTTGCGCCTTGGCCTACCCTGTCACAAACCCCTACTGGGGGCTGGTCTGCTCCCTTTATTTTTATTTTATTGCGATGCCCAATTCCTTCCAATCATTATAAAGTCTGTTTCAGTGTGATACATCACTTATTTGTTACACCTACATGCAAGGGCGGATCCAGCTTTGGCGCCAGGGGGGGGTCATATAGTCGTGGTCAAGTCATAGTGGGTACAGATTGCGAAGTACAGTTTGTGAAGTGGGTACAAATGGACCCAGCCCAGGGGGGGGGTCATGACCCCCATGACCCCCCCCCCCTCCCGGATCCGCCCTTGCCTACATGACACGGGGTCATAGCGTAGCAGGGGAAAAACTATAAGTTTTTCGTCATCGTCGATATAACTAAGCACAGATTCCCTCGTTATCAATAGGTATATGCACAAATTACGATGACTCACACTGTATATTTAAAAAAAATACATATTGTGTGGTCTGTGAAAATGGCAGATTTCTGCCAACGCCAAAAACCGCTGTCTGTGGAAGTGGTGGATTTCTGCCACGCATACACGGTACGATATTTAGATATAGAATAGATAAATAGGAATAGATGCAGAAACTATTAAGACTGATTTAAGACTGAGAAGAGTTTTAAGACAGTAGAACTCGAAATATAACAGTTGTTGTGAAGCGCGGGAACCAAAAGGTTTTGTCGGCCATTTTGTTTACACAGTTGAGGAGATTACAGTACTAGTAGGCTATTATTATTTATTACTAGCTGTGCCCCGCAATGTTACCTGCGGTTCATTAGGGATATTTTTCCACAGTACAACGTAGCCTATGTGTTAATCCAGGGTGTAAGCTAACTCCATACCAAATTTTATTAAAATTGCTCTAGCCGTTTAGACGTGAAGAAGTAACAAACATACACACTCACACTCACATACTAATAACGGCGAGTTATTTAATAGTGTGGTTATTTACTAGTAAGCTAATTGATGAGCGTTAAAAAAAGCTAGGAGAAGGTGACAAGCGGATACTAATCTATCTATACTTATAATAAATCTGTAGAGAGGTCAATTCTGTACATGAAATATATTTTCAAAATAACTATCAGGGGATGATTAGTGATCGATACTGATGCCAAAAATGCAATCAGTAAAATTTTTGTCTGTCTGTCTGTGTGTATGTTCCTTATAGAAACAAAAACTACTCGACAGATTTTAACGAAACTTGGTACAATTATTCTTCATACTCCTGGGCAGGTTATAGTATACTTTTCATCACGCTACAATCAATAGGAGCAGAGTAGTGAAGGAATATATTGGAAAAACGGGAGAAGTTACTCCATTTTTTAAGCTTCCGTCGCGTGTGCAGCTTTAATGGTTAAAGTTACATAGAAATCATGTATGACGGAAATATTCTACATAAAATTGTCTAAAAAATATCCCGCAACAGCATATGTCTATCTTTTATGGTTGACTTACAATAACACGTGTAATTATATAAATAAAGTTATTGTTTATAACACAAGCCTGAGATCAAAAACTATAGTTTACACTACAGCTCTACACCGAAGCGAAGCGAGGGCGGGCCACTAGTTATTAATAAAATGTTATCCTCGCTTAAACTATAAGTAATTCCGCTACCACCCGCTAGATGCCGCCGTGGTTAGACGAAGACTTTTCAATGGACAACCCGTGCTTGAACCTGGACAGGCAGGGCCATCTCAACGGGCTGGTGTATGGGTTGCCGTGCGACACTGCGCAGTACTCGATATGTATGATTGGTAAGTGCCCGTGTTTTACTATAAGTTTTTTTCAATTTAAGCATTTATAACTGCTAGATGTTTCAATCTCAAGAAAATATTACTAGAAAAAAATCCACGAGGTCTAGCATAGGTATTCTGTAATACCCCTTCTGACTAGGCTTGCCATGTTTGGCTTTTTGCGGTCGCGTCCGGCCAAATATGTACGGGTTTGGCCTGTCCGGCTTTTGTCAGACTTTTTGTCAGAGTGGCGATTCGTACGAGGATGGGCAGTCGAGCGTCCGAGCGGACAAGAGTCTCCGTGCCCCGCTGTCTGATATAATAAATATGTCCGGCTTTTACGGCAAAATGTCAGGCCTTATATAGTGCGCAGTCCGGCCTTTGCATTTTATGGCCTGGCAACCCTACTTCTGACGTGTAGACACTATACCGAGACATAATCTACTCGTTTGTAATAACCAACTTACGCACTAATATCATTATAATAATTATTTATGATATTAGTGCATCCACTGTATGGCCCTTAATTTTGAACCTTCAAACAATGTGTACAACCTCTATAATTGCATTCTTGATGCTGTTAGTTGCTTTGAATAATGAAAAAAAAATCTTTTACAGAGAAAAGTATTCGTCCTGCTGGTTTGGAAAATGCTACTGAAGTCAGCGAAACGTCTTAATACAAGAGAATATACCTACATATTTACAAGTGCAAATGTAAGGAAAAGTTGAAACTGTTTTTGGAGTAAAATCAAAAATTGTTATAGAAATAGTTGGAGATGGTTAAAAATAGTCATATATACTTTTATTTGTATTAGGAATAATTATAAAAATATACAACAGCTTATTGAGATAATAAAGTTTTTAATATTATTTATTTAAGACATTTTCTCCTTTAGCCCACTCACAGAGGATGATATTAGAAAGTTAGCAGTTTCTATCAAGTCCAAGGCTGTAGGATTTGATAATATCAGCAGAAACATGCTTATCTTATTATTGGACCCTCTACTTCCTATATTGACCTTTATCATGAACAAATCTCTATCTTCCGGCTCATTTCCTAGTGTGTGGCGAAAGGCTTTCTCTGTCCCTCTTCCCAAAATTTCTAGCCCCAGCTCTCTCAGTCACTTTAGATCTATATCTATTCTACCTTACCTTTCTAAGATTCTCGAAGCTGCTGTCCATAAACAGCTTTCGTCTTATGTCTATCGCAACCAACTTCTTACTCCTTTCCAGTCTGGATTCCGCCCTGGGCACAGTACCTCTACGGCGCTTATTAAAATAGCTGAGGACATACGAGATGGCATGGAGGAGTCGCGGTTGACTGTGTTAGTTCTTCTCGATTTTTCTAATGCATTTAATGCAGTTGACCACGACATTCTTCTTGCTCTGCTATCGCAAATAGGGTGCTCTTCCAATTCGCTTAAGTGGTTCTGGTCTTACCTTTCAGAGCGTCAACAAGCTGTAAGAATCAATCAATCAACCTCGGACTGGATCGACTTACTCGCTGGTGTACCACAGGGAGGCGTGATCTCTCCTCTCTTTTTCTCTCTATTTGTTAACTCCCTCACTTCCGTTCTTTCCACCTCTTATCATCTGTATGCGGACGATTTCAACTGTATGCTCAAGACACATTACCTAACCTGGGGAGGGCAATTAGTCTGCTTAATCAAAATCTTTCTCGGATACGTCAGTGGTCTGACAGCTTTGGAATTACCATCAACCCTGATAAATGTCAGGCGACCATTATAGGCAGTTCACGACAAATTTCGCAGCTGCATTCGAACACAATTCCTGCTGTTATGTTCAATGGTGTAGTGATCCCGTATTCTACAAAAGTAAAAAACCTTGGGCTTGTTCTTGACCACACGCTTAGTTGGGATGGCCAAATGGAAAATATGTGCCGCAAGATAAACGGAACACTTGGTTCGCTTTACCGCTTGAAGAATTTTCTCCCTCCGTGTACCAAAATCTCCCTTGTACAATCCTTGTTCATCCCCTCTTTGATTATGCTGATGTTTGTTTTACTGATATAAATCAATTATTTCTTACTTAATTGGATCGTCTTCTCAACAATACCATTCGCTTCGTTTTTGGTTTACGTAAATACGACCACATCTCTGAATACCGTTATAAACTTAAATGGCTGCCTGTTCGAGAGCGTAGGTACTTAAGGACAGTTTGCACCCTTTCCAACATATTATACGATCCATGTACCCCTGGATATTTGAAATCTAGGTTTCAGTTCCTGGGATCTTCTCATATATTAAATCTTCGGTCCATTAATAATCTGATACTCAATGTACCCATTCACCACACTAGGTTTGTCTCAAACTCTTTTACCGTTACTGCCGTTCGGCTCTGGAATGCACTTCCTTTGAACGTGCGTAAGGGTGCGGCCAGAGTGCACTCAGATTCAGACTCAGATTCAGATTTCGAAAACAAGCGCGAGAAATAAACAGTGTAGTCGAAGGGTACGGCCAGATTGCACTCCTGATTCAGATTCAGATTCAGACTCAGAAAACAAAGCGCGAGAAAAAGCAGGCAACCTGCTTAGACTACACTGTTTATTTCTCGCGCTTGTTTTCGAAATCTGAATCTGAGTGCACTCTGGCCGTACCCTAAGGGTGCGGCCAGAGTGCACTCAGATTCAGATTCAGATTCAGATTTCGAAAACAAGCGCGAGAAATAAACAGTGTAGTCGAAGGGTACGGCCAGATTGCACTCCTGATTCAGATTCAGATTCGGACTCAGAAAACAAAGCGCGAGAAAAAGCAGGCAACCTGCTTAGACTACACTGTTTATTTCTCGCGCTTGTTTTCAGAATCTGAATCTGACTCTGAATCTGAGTGCACTCTGGCCGCACCCTATCGCTCCAAGCAGGATTGTGTTTAAGACTTTGGCGCGGGAACACTACCTTAAGCAATTGCATAATGCTTAACCACAATCAGAATACTGTAATCCGACAAAGTATATGTGTTATAGGTATGTGCGTGTATGTGTATGTATATATATATATATTTATTTATAGTGTCTGTGTGTATATTTATATAAGTATGGTTGTATGTATAGTTAAGTGTCAGTATATTTGCTCATTGTTTGATTTAAATGTCTCTTCTTTGATTCTGCCGTTTTTATAGCTCTGTATGTTCTTTCCGGTTGACTGGTAGAGAATGCCATATTGGCATTAAGTCCGCCATTTGCAGTGTAAAGGCAATAAAGATTAAATAAATAAATAAATATTCATTCACTCTCAAAATGTTTGAAATGGAATTTAAATAATGGTAATAAATAAAAAACAAATTAGGATATAAGAGGGGCCTTGCCTCCGAGATAAAATGAAGCTTAAAATTTCAAGGCCCAGTGCGGATTGGTGGGTGCTAACAACCGCAGATGCAGCTGGGACCAACAGCTTAACGTGCCTTCCGAAGCACGGAGGAATTCTGCGAAACCACTGCAAAAGTTGCTTAACTTCAACGATCGCAGCCGAACGCACTGACCACTTGCGCCATCGAGCTCCTCAAAGCATGGTGGGTCATGGCCCAAATTCCCTATTCCATCCATAGGGAAGACCTGTGCCCCCGCAGTGGGGACATTAATGGGCTGATGATGATGATGATGATGATAATGATGAATCGATCCATGGTCTTGCTAGGGGTGGGCTTAAGATTATTCTGCAGTGGGCAGTCTCACTAGCCCACCACTACAAGGAATGTATACAAAATCGAGCTGTATTTATCAATAATAAAAAAAACATACTTTAATGCAATTGTTTTATTTCATCATCAAAAACACATTTTAGCTTTCAATATCAATGTAATAATTAAACTTCTCAATGGACACATTCATCACAGACAAAGGCCCACCTGCACCTATATAAGTGTTTTGTTTAAGCATTTTTATATCTTGAATTGACTTTAAACAGTTGCCAGATATGGAATGATGTTTTAAACAGGATTTAGCCTTAATTTGAATTAAGTTTTTTTTTATATATATAATTAGGTAGGCAAATGACTCTACCCCACCTGATGTTAAGTGGTGATAAAGTCCAAACGCGAAGATAGCTGGTACAGCAGTTTTAAACTGCTACACCAACCATCCTCACCTTGCCGGCCCTCAAAAATGATTTAGATGCAGGTAAGCCTTTAAACTCAAAAAAAGACAATTATGTCTTCCCATTTAATAAGTCAATCCACTCAGTGTTCACTTTGCTTAATTGTTGGCAATTGCTGTTCATAGTGTTGAGACTCTTCCTGAAAGTCCGTACATGCTCCAAATAAGCTTGGAGGCTGACATTCAAGGATTTGATGGACTCTATCTCTTGAGTAAGCTCTGCGTTTGTTTTCTGAAAATATAAAAATATACCATTGAGATAAAAAGTATATAAGTAGGTAGGTACTTTAAATTTTTTATTTTTAACTATATTTATGGTAAGGTTACTTTTTTGTTTTACACCATAGAATGCAAGTAAAAAAAAACAATCAGTAAAATGGAAAAATAGGTGGTAAAAAAACTAATAAGTAAGTATTTAACTATGTTATACCTAAGCAAAGTTCAAATGAGCAAATTTTACCTCGCGTTTTGAAGAAATAAACGAAGCTGTAGACATTTTGAAATCGTAACTTGTCGTTATTGAGCAGTGAACAGAAAAATATTGTGGCGTGGAAAGGAAAATCACAGAACACAGTTAAAATTGATAATGGCTAAATTGAATTGTTGTTTATATCAACTGCACTTTATTAAATATAAACTACAGTCGGCCCACAAAGTATTAGATGTTAGTCCAAGACGATTACAAACGTACTTTGTGGTCATTTTAAATTGAAATCAAAACAAAAATACCACACATGACAAAACGTCAAAATGAGCATTGCCAGATAACTATCTCGTATTCCCTAAATGCATCCGGACAAAATGAAGCTCCCTAAAAATACGATCCGAAAGGGGTCCGAACTATCACAGAAGTTTCAACATTTGAATACAGCTATTATTGTGGTAATAAAGATGTCTTTCAAGTATTATTTATTTGTTTCTTATGAGAAGGCTCATTCCTCTCCTGCCACTACAGCGATTGAAAAAAGTAACGATAGATTTGTTAGGAGCAACTTGCTGGGACTTCACATTTATATTCGTATTTGCTATTTGTAATTTTGACAGCAGGAGGTTCTTGTCATATATAGCGAATGAAAAGGAGAGGCTATTGTTATGTATACAAATAGCACATATGGATAGTTAATGAAGAGCCAGCATAACATGTTCTACAAATAAATTCCCCTGGTCCCTGGTAGAGTCTGTGCGGAAAGATGATGGGATTTAGATTGGAGGGTGCTGTAGTGCTTTTCTACCGTATTTGTAGTGTTTTACCCCTTTTAGACATGATTAAATACAAAAAACCGCAAGAAATCACAACAACAAAGAAATCCGTATCAATACAAAACTTTGACGTTTTACAGATTGCTGGGTTTGATTGCCAAATAAAAATCTTAATGTTAGTTCCGTTTTTCACCACGCCTATTCTCATTCCGCACAGACTCTACCTAGATTCTTCCCTCTAAATTTCTCCCATGGTTTAATATAAAAATGGGTGCGTGTACTTATGTAGGCGCGTGAGAAGTTATCCTTCTTTGGCATCGTTTAAAATTAGTTTTTAATTGCATGCAAATAATTAATTACAATAAATTAATAAAAAGTCTAGAAAAGGACACAGTCAATAAAGTTCAGTTTTAATTTGAAAAACTAAAATTTTCCATATTTATCATAATCAGATTTGTAGATTTCATTAAGGATCAGTTCAAAGGTGGTTTAAATTGTTTTTTAATACACACACAACCATGACCTATCTCACTCAATGATTCATTTCTTGATAATATTTTACCAACCTGTCATGAAAATAGTTTCTAAAATATTTCTTTAAGCAATCGTAGAAATCGAACATAAGACTACTTACAATGTTGATGAATCGTATTTGAAAATAATAAGTTTCAACGTAAAATAAAAAAAAACTTCTATTTAAGTTCGCGTATAATAAATTAAATACGATTTATCGACTTTTGCTGTTTTGAAACGCATGCGCGACAAGAATACCGAGAAGCCAACCAACCAGACACGGCCATGAAAAACCGTGCGCGCGCAGCGCCATCTGAAGAAAAAAATACACATTATACGAAACGCCGCCATTTTGACATTTGTTTAGCTTTGTGTTTCTTCATAGAAATTTTTGAGAATTTTATGCACTAAACTTTAATGCATTGAGTTTTTCGGTGAATAAAAGTTTCCTTTAAAAATCTTATGCACATTTTCAAAGATATCAGTCAAAATCTGTGCGATTATGCGACGCATAAATCGATGATACTGCTGTGCCGCTTTTTTTATTTTCGCGATGCTAATTTCTCATTTGTTTTATTTTAAAAGTGCTAATAGTAAAGACAAACAATTATTAAAATGACGTAAGAGTGTTCTGAATGTGATTTAAAAGTATTGTACATTCGAAATGTTAGTAAAAGCTGTGAATAAAAAAGGCGCGAAGTGTAGCTTGGGCCGTGTTACCGAAATAAACTCTCCAATGTTTTATTGAAATTTAAACAAAGACATTACGAGCCCGCGTCGTGCTCACCGGCATTTGTTATGTATGTAACTTTACTGTCATGAAGACTAGTGGGCGATACAGATAAATATTTACATTATTGTAAATTGAGTTCATGTAAGTTCTATTGGTTCTTATTAGATACTCATTAAATTGTTCAAATCCCTGCCTTTATTCACTAAGTTGTATATATTTCTACTTTGTTACCGCAAGTGTAACCTTAGAGTATGATTAATTGATTTCAGGTTAAGTTTTCTTCTGAACTTGCGATGCGGTTAAGAAGTAGAAAAAGGGAGCGACCGCTCTCATGCAATAGAAGTTCACAGAAGGTCACTAAATTCAAGAAGAAACCTGTCAAGCCGTTGTCTAAGCCAACATCAGCTTGGACAAAGGTTGTAAAGCCAGAGACAACAAATAATGTTTTATTGGCAAACGCCAAACAGTTTTGTGTTACTAGGTCACAAAATTTGAAAACCAGGCCTGTGAGAACTAGACCCCTCAGAAGCATGGAGAAATTGGTTGACACTGCACACAAAGCCAAAACCAAGCACAAAGACGTCGCAAAGAAACCAATCTTCCAAACTGTTGTACGTAGCACTACTAAAGATTTGGTTAGCTCCTCGACGACTCTCAAAAATCTTAAAACCACTCAAAATGATAAAATAACTACGACATCCAAGACTAAAGATGTACGTACAACGAAAAGTGTACAGTTGCGGCACAGCTCACTAAATCGTGAACTCAGAAAGACTGAAGTTAACACAGCTATGAATTCACCAAGAAAAACTAGAAGGATGGATAAGCCGGATAAGTCTGCATCGTTGAACAGTTCTCCTATTAGAAAGGTCCGACAATTAGGGGTTCCGTCCCCTAAATTGATAAAAGTAAGTTCTACTAATGAAAGTCCTAAGAAAAAGGGGAAGGCTAAAGCTCCAGTTTTTCCTGAGAATGGAAACTGGGCCGAAGATAACGATATCACTATGTATGAGCCTCATACTACAACTTTTGTTGATTTTCCAACACCGAAGTCGGATGAATCGGATTCCGATGCTCACGTCGAGTCTTCTGAATTATGTCTTCCAAATGATTGCTTGAATGACTTTATTGCTATTGCTGAGTGTGCTAGACTTATTAATGACAATTTAGAAACCGAAGATGAAGTGAACTTCCTTGCGGATAAAGCAGCTAGAGTAATGACTACTGAAAGAGAGGATGTGAAGAAGACTTCTAGAACAAACTCTGTCGACAAACGTTTAATTAAACGGAGGAAGTCCAGCAATGACTTGGAAATGTATCAGCCAACATCGACTACTGATGATTTGGACACTTGCACCAGCTTTTTGAGTAATGGAGAGAAATATGTTCAGGTAATAATTATAATAACTTTTCATCACTAATGACTTACTTTTTATAAATGTTTTATATATAATTTTTACCAGAGAAGCTAAATAGTGTAATGCTTCAATTACATTTGGTCATTAACCCGTATGAGTGTGCCCGAAAGACATTACTCAAATTTGGGCATAAGCATTATTTACACTGGAATATGGACTGGCAGATGGTGTTGCGTTAACAAAAGAAAATTTACCCGAATATGGGCGTACTGAACTCTGTTCATTTACACTTAGTTGTTTACCCAAACTCCATTGGCACTCATATGGGGTAGTGACCAAGTTTAATCGCGCCATAAAGGTATTATGTGTGCAATTATGGAAGTTAAGCAACTTTCCCCATAGCCTGGTATAGGATGGATGGCCATAAAAATGTGTTATGTTGATTTCCTTCACATTTCAATAGGCATATTACTCTGTATGTCCTGGCTGAATTTCCTGATGTGAGCAACAACTAATTTACATTGGCCATCTATCTATAGGGAACTCTTGTACCCAAAGTCTATAGACAAAATAGATGATTGTAAATATGAATATGACAGTATACTCCATAAACAGCATCCAAAATTCGAAATTTTCATCTTACTTTTACATAATGGATGGATATTGTTTGTGGCATATTGCCTACATGCCACAAACAATATCCAATATTTCAAATTTCATTTCTTATTTACAACATAAATGTATTGCCTCTGCTTACTAATTCTATTTTCGGTTATTTAGTATATTTATCAATTCAATTCATTTAATAATTTGTCAATTTATTTAGTATAATTATCAATTTAATTCATTTAATAATTCCATCTCCTTCTAGCCTGACTTCGTGGCCATGTTAGAGCAGGATAGCTATGTCCGAGACTCTGAGTGCGAGATATCTTCAACGTGCGATACGCAGGGTACTGCTATAGAGAGCTTGGAAGCTTTGTCAGCTAGGAGCCCTAGTTCCGGGTTCTTGGCTGAAATCAGCCAAAGCTTAGCTGCGGAAGCCGCTGGATGGGTAAGTATATTATATTAATTTTAATTAGGCAATGTTTAAATTTAATAGTTGTATAATAAAACTAGTCTAAATGTGGAATAAGTAAAATTAAAAATAAGTTTATGGCATAAATAGACTTAAAATAAAATTCATAGCATATTATAACTTCTTTATCTCTATATCTTAATAAATATGTGTTTTGTTTCAGAATGGCTCTGATATAGTTGCTGATGACTCTTCGCTAGCATGTCACGATGAGCAAACGCCTTCGGATATTGAGGTATGATCTTAAAATATTTATTATATCACTTGAAAAGAGGAATTGTGGGTGTAACTTGTAAGTAGTGTCGCCAGGTCCGATTTGTTTTAAATCGGTACATGAGGTCAAAAAAAAAACTAAATTTCGGGTTGCAGATCGGGACAGTAAACAAAAAACAAGGGAAGGGAAGGGAAGTTTGTGTTTAATTTATTGCCTTTTTATCTACTAGTGCAAGTATAGTATTATAATTATAACCTAATTTTCATTTTTTTATTAATCGGGACATTTAGCGTCCCGATTAGGTACAAATCGGGACGCGTCCCCAGACCACTGAATATCGGGAACACCCCCGCAAATCGGGACACCTGGCAACACTACTTGTAAGCGTTAAGCAATCATACATGGTAAAATATGTCAAATACGTCAAAACTTAAGGTTAAAGAAACTTTATTTCTAATAAAAAAGAAACAACAAACAGTTGCCATCCATGAGAAAAAATATTTAGGCAAAAGTATTTGTGTAGTCCTGTCGGTATGCGGCAGACGCAGTCAGCATTAGTTCTTAGTTTATACCAAATCATCCTTTTTTTTATTTTATTTTTTTAAAACACACCAATTAGCCTAGCCCCAAAGTAAGCATTGTAAGGCTTTTGTTATGGAATGCTAGGGTAACGGATAGAATACATATACTGTACATATATAAGTATATTTATATAGTAATAAATATTTTACGTCCATGACTGGAGTATTCACCACACAAACATTTGCCCCCACCGGGATTCGAACCCGGCACCTCTCGAGGCGGCGACAGCATGAAACCCGGCGTACAAACCACTCGGCCACGGAGGTTGTCAGGTATAATATGTGGTTTTCATCTCATTTTAAAGACACCGATTGATTCTGCCTTCTTTACATAATCAGGTAACTCCTTTAAATGTTATGGCACGGTAATAATATCATACAGTATTCTATCTTCATACAAACGGTCGGAAAGCGAATCATACCATACAAACGGTCGGAAAGCGAGTCGAACGACGACCTCCGTGGTCGAGTGGTTCGTACGCCGGGTTTCATGGTGTCGCCGACTCGAGAGGTCCCGGGTTCGAATCCCGGTGGGGGCAGATGTTTGTGTGATGAATACGAGCATTTGTACTCCAGTCATGGATGTTTAATATGTATTTCTATATAAATATACTTATATATGTACAGTACATGTATTCTATCCGTTACCCTAGCATCCCATAACACAAGCCTTACAGTGCTTACTTTGGGGCTAGGCTAATTGGTGTGAGTGTTGAAAATATTTATTTATTTATTTATTATTATTATTATACCTACGCCACTCGAGTTCGATGGGCTCTCGGCGTCTCGGCGGGCACCCAGTCGCGAATGCGCCGCCGCGCCGCGCCGCAACGACGAGCGTACGGTGTGAATTGTTTTTTATGCAGTTAGCCGTGCTTAAACGTGCGTTTTGTATTGTAAATATTTGATTTAATTAAGTAGATACCTACATAATTTAGTATGGAAAAGAACAAACGACGATCAATATCGTACAACAGCACAATTGCTGCTTTTGGTTGCTTGAACTCTTCAATAAATAATAAAATATTTTTTTTAAAAATCCTGAAATATTGGAAAGGTGTCTTACCTTGCTGTTATAAGATTAACGGGCCATAAAGAACTGTGTTTGTTACAGGAAGAGGCAGCCGATGTGATATCTTCATGCAGCAATAGAGTTGACTGCGAACAAATATCTTCTTGGGTGGACGCTTTTGACCCGTACTTGTTCATAAAACAGGTAAGCAACACAATTGTTGACCTTGAGTCCGGCTCGGAGGACCAAAATTTTGGTTATGAGGATGACGGAATATTTATTTATAACTGTGTTCAAGTTAGTAATTTATCTATTTATTACTGCAATTTACATTAATTTTTCTATCAATGGCGCAAGTGGTTAGTGCGTTCGGCTGCGATCGTTGCCGTTAAGCAATTTTCGCAATGGTCGGTCATTGGATGGGTGACCAAAAATTTACTATCTCGAGCTCCTCCGTGCTTCGGAGGGCACGTTAAGCCGTTGGTCCCGGCTGCATCTGCAGTCGTTAGCACCCACCAATCCGCACTGGGCCCGCGTGGTGGGTCATGGCCCAATCTCCCTATTCCATCCATAGGGAAGGCCTGTGCCCCTGCAGTGAGGACATTAATAGGCTGATGATGATGATGAACTATACCCAATACATTTTGTTCACAGTTACCCCCATTGGAGACTGTGGCAACGGGTGCTTTAAGAGCTCGCTACCCTGCCTTACCTTTGAAGACTAGAACCAGCCCCGACTTCAGTTTGGTAAGTGTCATCATACATTTGTTATTGAATAATTAATAGACTTGCAACGAATAGTATATTCGGCAGTATACCGAATATTCGGCGAGGCCCCTGACCGAATAGCCGAATATTAGGCAAAAGTATTCGGCTGGATTTTAGCGCCAAAAACTTGTACAGACGTGATTGTTTTGCGCTCCTGTGTTTTGTTCTAACCTGCCGTCCTCAAGCTAAAATGCGGCTAAATGACAATACCAACTTTTGAGATATGGCCAAAAACGGCGCGTAAACTTTAAATTATTGCTATTAAGTAACCATTCATCACATGACTGAATGAATTAAAAACTGTTAACTTGTTTAATACAGAAAATGATTAAATTATGTACCTGTTTTATGTACCAATGGCTACTTAATAAATGATTATAAAAGAAATGAGAACCTTACTCTTCTAAATTTTGATTACCACAATAATTCGTATACATAGAATCTCTCCATTTTTCCAATAGGCTAGTTGACTCTTTTTGGAAAAAGGTTTTAAATGGTTAATAAATGTACTATTAGACCGAAAAAAAATGTATTGTATTTTTTTTAAACCTAGAAAGCTACAAATCTTTAATTTTAAAATAGACTTTTCATGGACATACAAAAACGCTGTCGGCCATTTTAGTCTATAGATTGTCTATGATGCTATGACATGAACTGTGGTAAACAAAAACTCGTAAACACGTAGAAAATTACTTTTAACTGAGTTTATAATAAAAAAAAACATGATTTCTAATAAATACCACGAAAAATAAAGTAATTATCATTACTGTATTGTACGAGAATATAAAAACACATCCTTGAAGACTCCAGGAAGGTTGTGGATTAAAGTGCCGAAAGAAATTAACCTACGCAACTTTATTACACTTATTCATATGTTGTATCAGTTTTATGTTTATTACTACATTGTAATACTAAATGCACTGTACTTACATAGATGCCTTGTCGTTTCTCTGCTCCGCAGAGCAGAAATCGGGGTTTAGTGCAACAAATTCACCAACCATCAATGCGTCAATTCTTGGCAGATTTGTGCTTTCTGCTTTCACAAAGCCGGCATCCATAATTTGTTTAGTCAAAAAAAACTAAGTTTACTGTTTTTTTCTTTCCTAAAGTTAAAAGTGTTTTAAGATAAATTTAGTCAGACGAAAGAATCCACCTACAGTAACACGCGAATGACATTTAGTTGTTTACCACAAGAGACGTCAAAATCATGGCGAATGTGGCGAACAGCGTTTTTAGTGTTTAAAAAATATAGACTAAAAAATATTATTTAAAATTAAATTTCTACAGCAATCTTCTGCTTTTATGAAGTGAAATCGATATATTAAGGTTCCTTAGACTAAACACTTTAAGAAATAAACATTTTAATACAATTCGACATGAGTAAACTAGCCTATTCAGAAGATAATTATGTACCTGTGTTATGTACCAATGACTACTTAAATGATTATATATAACAGAAATGAATGAATATATACGTAATCAATCGATTTTAATTTTTCATTTTACCAATTATTTCTGATGACAAAATATATTATTTAAGTATTTGGTATTCGGCCGAATAATATGTAGATATTCGGTCGAATATAATAAAAGCAGCCGAGTAGGCCGAATACCGAATAGTAACCGAATATTCGTTGCAAGTCTAGTAATTAACGTTTTGCCCATCATGTATTTATTTTTATGGCAGTGCAATAAAGACTATGGAAATGCCATGAAAGCAATAGAAGGCTATTTGGCAAATTTTTGAAAACATTAATTTGTTATTTATTAGTGTATAGTGACTCGATGTAAAGTCGATTTAAGAGGAGCTGGCGAACAAAACGGTATAATTACGCAACTGGTCAAACTACTTTTTTTAAGTGAAAACTTCTTTAGCGGCTTTGTACACTTTTTTTTGTATCGGTAAAAAATTTTAAACTCGCGACACTTTTTTTTGTATCGGTAAAAAATTTTAAACTCGCGTCAGGACACCTGGGCTGATCGCGTCATGACACGTTGCCTGATCGGGGATCTGACGAAAACAATAAAATTGGAAAGGTTATTGACTTTCAATATATTGGACGAAACATAGTAATATTTTATTTTACCGTATTATAATAATAAGTCTCTATCTAGGACGTCCACGTGGCAGCTTTATTGCGAAGAAAATGCTTTTTTTTACAATAGATGTCGATAGGTGCGCTTAAATGTGATTCATGTAAGTTGATTTTTCTGAGAGATAAACTTTTTTAATGTGATATAAATTGTCATGTTTGTGTACGATAGCGCTATGAATAAATATTGTATTCTACCACATACATGATAGTACTTTTATACTGATAAATTAAAGCAATTCGTACAAAATTATTCCCTAACCATTACAAAATATCAAAAATGCACAACGTTAATATTCAAGTTTTCACTTCTGCTGGCACTCCCGGAGTGCAACCTGTCGTTTTTTTTACAGTCCGGAGGTTTCGGGCCTGTTGAATTTGAATCTCAAATATATTCAATCAAAACCGCCTAAAACAGTGTTAAAATGACTTCGCCAGCTCCTCAAATATAATAGAGTATTTGACAGTATTAAAAATAAAGTGCCAATTGTTAGCATCTGTGTTTATAATGAATATTGGCAGGGATTTACACTATTTTTACAGAAAAAATATTCATAATTTTACTAAAAAACCCACGAAAAAGTTTTCTTATGATGATGATGTCATGTGACCCAAAACGCTTGGGATTGGCGGAGCCTAAAATGACGTCACACGCAAGTAAACTTCCGGTTAAAGTGAATGGTTCATACTAACGGTACTGCACTCCTATCACGAACCAATATCGAATTCGTAACGTTTGCGAGTACGAAATGTCATTGTCAAATGTGTACTGATTTATAGTTCTCGTTACGTACTTTGTGGCGCTACTGTTCAAGTTTCCATACAAAATTTGACATTGACATTTCGCACTCGCAAACTATTCGAATTCGATAATGGTTCGTGCTAGGGGTATTGTTCAGGCGCAATTAACGAACGCAGCTATTAAACGTCAAACAGTACAAAGTAATGTCACTTTGCAGAAGTATGTTTACAAGCAGGTGACGTCATTTTAGATTCATGTAAAAAGAAACATCATTAATTCATTAAAAAATAAAACACACAGTGGAAAAGAAAAGTCGCTTAAACGCCACTTTAGCACGGTAATATTATCTATACAGTATTCTATCTTCATACAAACGGTCGGAAAGCGTGTCATACCTACGCCACTCGAGTTCGCGCGGCACCCGGTGGGCACCCAGTCGAGAATGCGCCGCAGCGACGAGCGAACGGTGTGAATTATTTTTTAAGCAGTAAGCCGTGCTTAAATGTTTGTATTGTGAACATTTCATTGAATTAAGTAGATACATAATTTAATATGGCAAAGAGCAATAGTCGATATTGTGCTGTTTTTGGTTGCTTGAACTCTTCAATAATTAAACATTTTATACGATGCGTATTTATTAACCAATTAAATTTAACAATAAAGCTTTTCGTACGTCTCAGTCGAGGCGTAAATATTTTTGTCTCAAATATATATGTTTTTTTTATTAAATATTACACTTATAATAACATGTATTTAATGTAACACTTCCTAATTCATTCACAACATTTTCTTTTTACATATGGAATAAAATATTTACAGTCACAAAACTAGAAAGATTATGTCGATGAAATTAAAATACTGTAGGCGGGCAGCCCTAACGCGTCGATACACCCCGCTCGGCCGTAGGCAGTTATTTCAAGGACACGTCCGAGTCACAATACTGTATTGATAATATTACCGTGACTTTAGTAACTTTACAGAAACGGAGATCAAAGTTTGTTTTATTCACAAAAAAAGTCTTAACACTTTGTAAAGTAGTAATAGCGCCATAAAATTAAAAACATATTCATAAAATAATATTTTCTAAATATTCTCCTATTAAAAGTTACATGGAGCTTTTACTGTACGAATTAGATGTCGCTTAAGCGAAAATCACTCAGCGCGCCATACATTTTTTGTCAAGCAAACATCAAATCATGATTCAAAAAAACCGGCCAAGTGCGAGTCAGACTCCCGCACCGAGGGTTCCGTACAAACTCAATTTAATAGCTCTACGCGTTCACGAGAAAAGAGGTAGTAACTTTAAAATTTTCAAAAATATTTTTTATTATATGAAAAAGTTGCGAAAGCCGTAAATTTTTAGTTACATCTAAAAATTTACGGCTTTCGCAACTTTTTTCCTTTATCTGTACTATGAAACGTTACTTCGTACCAAATTTCAAGATTCTAAGTTCACGGGAAGTACCCTGTAGGTTTTGATTCCCGTGCGGGTTTCGAAAATTTGCCGAAATTTGCGGCATAAACGGCTGTATCTTTTGATTGCTTTGGCTTAGAAGTTTGATTTTTTCACAGCTCTCGGGACAGTAGACATGAGTATTAGATATGTTTAGATATAGATATGAATTTCAATCTGATACCTCCACGCGTTCCTGAGAAAAACGGTCTTGACAGACTGACGGAAGGACATCAAAGTGATCCTATAAGGGTTCCGTTTTTTCCTTTTGAGGTACGGAACCCTAAAACACCAAAATTTATGTTGCTTCAGCGTTGTGAACAATAAAAATCTTCCAAAAAATTGGTTGCTTAAGCGCCTATAAAGCACTCAAGGAGGCTCGCAAGGAGGATCTCGATGGCACAAGTGGTTAGCGCGTTCGGCTGCGATCGTTAAGTTAAGCAACTTTCGCAGTGGTCGGTCATTGGATGGGTGACCAAAAATTACTATCTCGAGCTCCTCCGTGCTTCGGAAGGCACGTTAAGCCGTTGGTCCCGCATGCATCTGCAGTCGTTAGCACCCACCAATCCGCACTGGGCCCGCATGGTGGGTCATGGCCCAATCTCCCTATTCCATCCATAGGGAAGGCCTGTGCCCCAGCAGTGGGGCCATTAATAGGCTGATTATGAAAGCACTAAAATTTTTGCGTAAC